TTTAAAAACATACAAACTACATATAAACTTATGTTTGTATACTTTTGTATAAACCTATGTATACTTTTTTTAGCATTGTATATAATATATACACATGTATTCGTACATACCTAATGTATACAAACATTTGTGTGTGATTTTGTTCGTATGTGTATGTGTGTGTATATATATATATATATATATATATATATATATATATATATATATATATATATATATATATTTGAGTTTGTTTGTGTGTTTTTGTGAGTAAATAAAAATTTAAACTTGGAAAAAAGTTAAGAAGATGGCATATGTACAAACGTGATTTGTTGCCGACAGTCTGTTTGTTTGTTTACATACAAATGTTTTGTTGTTGTTATTTTTATTATTATGACTTTTATTATTACTTTAAATTATTATTATTATTATTACCCTTCACTCATTCAACTTTTTTCATTCTTTTTCTTCAACACAGGCATACATTTACAAATACAATATGTAATGTATGTATGTACATGTGTGTACGTGCGTGCGTGTGTGTGTACGTGATTATCATTCAAGTTAGTTTTGTGTGTGTGTGTGTTCGTGTGTATATATAATATAAACATAAAATAAACAATATATACATAGTAAACATACAGTATAGGACAAATACCTCTTTTTGTGGTAAAAAAAATGCTTTTTTTTGTATTTTCAACATTTTTAGTATGATAAAAAACTACACATAATGGAAAAAATACAATCGTACAAAAAAAAAAGTCTGGCTTGTTTATGCTTGCAACAAAACATGTTTGGAATCCATAACATAACCAAATGTATCTGCGATGTTATGTTTGTATACACACGCACACACACACACACACACACACACACAAATACACAAAAACAAATACACTCACACACAGACACACAATCACACACAAAAATACAAATACACCCACAAACACATAAATACACTCACACTCACATACACAAACGCACTTACACATACACAATCACACACACACAAAAAGACACACAGACACATGTATATATCTATACACTTGTGTGTGTTTGTGTTTGCGTGCGTCTGCGTCCCTGTTAGAATCGGATATAAATAATTTTTCTACTTATGTTTGCTTAGATACAGAATTGAATGAGAATATTAAAGATGTTTATGTTGCCTGTATGTGTGAACGTATGCTTGTGTGCTTGTGTGTGTGTATGTGTGCGTGTGTGTATGTGTGCGTGGGGGTTTATTTGTGGTGTGTGTTTGAGGTTCGATAATAATCGAGATAAGATGAATGTTACAAAAGTAACCCAGTGCGTCATAGCCAGCCTCAAATTAGTTATATATTACAGCATTCGCATATGTTCTTTAAGGCTCTTGTGGTACCTTTGGGATATTTATCGTGTTTTAAAAAGAACCCTTTTGTTCTACATTCTGGTAGCAAGATTGAAAATGCTTTGAATTAATATTGATCTGCCTTGGTTGAGCTTCTTTTTATACTTTGAATTTAAATTTTGACATTCAGGTTTGATAAATTTTTATCGGTTTGCTTGTCCGCTACTACTACTACAGCTGCTGCTATCATTACTACCACTACTTCTACAACTTCTGTCGATTCTGCTACTTCTATTTTTACTCCAACTGTAAAATTATTGCTGTTATTGAAATTACAGGAAGAAAAACATTTCATCCATTTGCCCAATAGAGACAACAACACAACAAGCGATGAAACATACAATAAAATAAGCAAACAATAAAGCAAACAATATCACAAACAATACAAAGCAACAATACCAGCATTTGTATTTGTGTTCATGTTCAACACCACAAACAATGCAACGACGAAATAAATTTGAATACTTGAATACATAAATGCCTAAAAATAACTGGATTCAAGATACATAGAAGACATAGCAGAACTGTAAATGTCAATCGGAGGAACAGCTACAAATGAACGAGTTTACAAATTCCAAAACAACAAAAACAGATAAAACAAAAACAAAAGAATGAATGAATGAACGAACGAACGAATAAACGAATGAATTAATGAACGAACGAACGAACGAATGAATGAATGAACGAACGGAAAGATGAATGAATGTATGAACAATAAATCACAATGAACGAACCGTGGACAAAAATCTATATCAAACAAATGAATAACCAGCACAGCAAAACAAATAAACAAAAAAGAAAGCGCAACAATAACAACTAAAAAATCTAATAAATAAACAAAGACAAATGAACTAACAAACGAACTAACAAACAAAACCAACAAAACAATTGAACGAACCAAAAAACGAACAAATTTAAACAAAAACAAAAACCATAACCAATTAACAAAATACGAATGAACAAACAAACAAATGAAAAAACGAACAAACAAGCAAACGAACAAACGAACGTACAAACGAACGAGCGAACGAACGAACTACAAGAGCGACAACGAGCGTTGACGAGCCACACAGCTGAATGCATGCATGCCTTATTGATCTCTCCGCTTGCACCTGAACACACCAACACATACAATTATAATTTATATACAAACACCAACATATATAAATATACATATATACAAATACATACATACATACAAACGCGACGGAAACGATTGCATGCCTAACCATGGCTTGTTCATCAAAACGGGTTCATACATACACACATACATACATACATACATACACACATACATACATACACACATACATACATACACAAATACATACATACATTTTGCGTTGAACTTTATTTCAGCGAGGACATGTTTAATCTTATGTTTAATTTTGTGCTATTTTATTTTTTGATGACGCTTTTGAATTTTAACTAACTAGCGCTAAATAAATCTTTTGATAATAATGATAATAATAATACATATCAATAATACATACATATCAATTATACACAATATATACAGTTATATGTAATTACATAAGTGTAAATAGAAGCGTACCTAATTAACTTTCAAGATACTCATACATTAAATACAAAGATTTGACTGATTGATTGAAAGATACATTGGTATGCAGTAGATACATTCAAATGCATATTGATACAAAACAGTGGGGAATGTTAGCCAGAAACTACGATACTTATGCTGATAGTTATAAATAGAAATATACAAAGGTTTCAAAATACAACCATGCACACTTGAAAAACAGAAGTATACAAAAGAAATACGCGCGTATACATACATACAAACATACTACATACATACATACATACATACACACACACACACACATACATGCATACATACATACATACATCCAACACACATACAAAAATGAAATCATTTATTTTGTATGGGGACATCAAATAAAAAATATGAATTTATTTTTTTTTAGTACCAAGTCGAAAGGTCAAAGTTGACGAGCAGAAGATTTTTGTTACATCGTACTAATCCTCTTTTTTTCTTGTATATTTATGTGTATTTTTACTTTTTCCATACTAAAAACGATTGCGAAAGTATTTGCATATACAACTTTTAAAAAATGCAAACCGCACGAACGTATATTGTTAGCAACAACAACAACCACAACAACAACAACAACAGAAAACTTTAAAAAAATCCTAAAAACCCATGGAAAAAGTGCAAGCAGACAAAATACGTGACAAGGACACACGTCCGCAAACATACACGTCTAGACACGCATACACACATGCATAAACACATGAATAAGATCACACAGACACACACACAGACAAACAATCTCACACTTGCAACAAACACACGCAAACACACACACACAGACAGTTACAAATATGCAACCCCACCAAAACATATAAATATATAAACATTATAAACAAATGTAAAAGCACGACCAAACGCCATCAAGGAAATGAAAGCCAGCCAATGTCAGCATGCCTGCCTGGGATATAAATAACTCTTTCGGGAGTTTCCATCTGGGTTTTTCCACAATCCTGAATAAATTATCCTCCAGTCTGCTTAAACACTAGAATTATTTTTGTACCATACATAAGTGTGGAGGATTGAAGTAATAAAAGATGGCTATTAATGAGAAGAAGGTTTGTATGTTTGCGATGTTTGTTTACGTCTGTGCAGTTGTTTGTATGCGTGTGTATGTGTACGTCTGCCAGTATGTTCGTGTCTGTGTTCTAATATGTCCATATATATATATTTGGTCGTACATATGTTAGAGTTAGGTATAAATATGAAAATGTAAAAAATGAAATATGAAATTCAGTACTATGTACCTGTTGTAAGCAAATGATTTCGCTTTTCTATACAATTGGATGTTTGTACAGTTGTGTATGTGTGTGTGTGTGTGTGTGTGTGTGTGTGTGTATGTGTGTGTGTATGTTTGTATCTACATAAGACCAGTAGATATTGTATACTAAAAAATGTACGCATTTATGCATGTATGTATGTATGTTCGTATGTTTTGTACATACATACAACGTATGTATGTATTTAAGGTATGTATGTATATGTATGTGTGTGTATGTATGTGTGTGTGTGTGTGTGTGTGTGTGTGTGTGTGTGTGTGTGTGTGTGTGTGTGTGTGTGTGTGTGTGTGTGTGTGTGTAGGCAGTCGGATCAATGTAGACAACTATTGATCCATGCTAATGCCGATGATGATGTTGCGATAGAAGAACGTGTAGATGATGATGCTGACGTTATGATGATGATGTTATGATGATGATGATGATCGTGACGTGATGATGATAATGTGACGACCGTGACGATGGTGAAACTTGCGATAGTTACAATGAAGCATCGTACAACTTCTACAATAAATAATGTTACAAGATGATGATCCAGGTAGGTCATGAATGATGAAGATGATGATGATGAAGACGACGTATGTGATAAGATTGATGCAGAGGACGACGATGACGATGGCGCGAGTGACTGATTAGGTGCTTTCCTTGCAAATTTGTTCACCTTCCAGTTTAAAAATTGTGTTTCTAGAATTTCTCAGTACCGTTAAAAAATTGATGGTACGGCGAAAAGCATTATATTAATTCTTTTTACCCTTGCTGTAAAACAATACTGCAACAATTTTGAAAAATTATTTTCTTCAAAAAATGTTACATGAAAATTTCAATAATATAAATTTGAGTTTAAAAAACTAATCCAATTTATAAAGTAATTAAAAACAGGTGGAGTCCAACTGCGGCTTTTCAATCAAATCCAACTTGGCTCCTCCCACCGAGCCTTTGGAATGTCCATCCATCTCCAATACGACGATATGATTGGTTGAATTGTTCAGAAAATATTTGGGCACGTACAAAGTTGTCTGCGGTCCTAATGTTGGCCTATAGCGGCCGAGGTTGTTGCCGTTTATATAGACCACGCCCTACATTTTGATTGGAGGGAGAAAAATTATAAAATGAATGCCATTGTTGTCGTTATTTCCATTACTGTCATCATTTGTTAGGCTGCAGTCGTAAGCCTGCTTAGTATCTTCGTCGTTGATGTTTAATATACTAAAATGTGATAAAGCATTGTCAATGTCTTAGTTTCAACATTATCGCCACCATCCCATCATCATTATCGTTGTCGTCATCGTCATCATCATCATCATCATCACAAGCACTATAATTATAAGAGCCAACCAACCCACTTCCACGAACACATGTTGATGAATGTGTCCTGGAGATCTTTGCTGTCCGCAGGAATTCTAAAAATACCTGAATAAATTGTCGGCTCGTTGAGCAGTTGTTCGTGCTGCTGTTGCTGTAGTTGTGGCGGTTGTGGCTGTTGTGGCTCTTGCCGTTGTAGTTGTTGTAGTAGATGCTGTCGATATTTCAACGGAATTTCATTCTGTTCTTGTTTCATTGCCTCCAAAAGTTTTAAATATCTTTCTTTGTGCTCCTGTTCATTCTGTCGTTCATCCTGCCGTTCATCTAGTTGTTCATCCTGCCTTTCATCTAGTTGTTCATCCTGTCGTTCATCTAGTTGTTCATCTAGTTGTTCATCTAGTTGTTCATCCTGTCGTTCATCTAGTTGTTGTTGTGATTGAAACGACAAATGGTGATCAATAAGTTGGCGCCTTTTTTGACGGAACTCGGCCAAATTTTCACTTCCTCCCGTACCCTTCTCTACAGAGGCTGATGTCGTCAAATCGTTGAAGAGGTTCTCCAACATGATGGGGTAGATCTTCCAGTTCGTCAAAACGTCTGCTCCAAGGTTCACGCTGGAGACGATACCCTGCAACCGGTCGTGGTCATATTTTTAAGTCGAAGAACTTTAAAGTTTTATAATTTTATTACCAATAATATTAGCAAGTCATTCGTAATTAATTGATTTTTAAGTTGTATATATCGTCAACCAATATTTTCATTATCATCATCGTCGTCGTCGTCATCACCATCAAAATCATCATCATCACTATCATCACTCTCATCACCACCATCATCACCCCCATCATCACCCCCATCATCATCCCTATCATCACCACCATCATCACCACCATCATCACCACCATCATCACCACCATCATCACCACCATCATCACCACCATCATCACCATTATCATCACCACCATCACCACCATTATCATCACCACCATCATCATCATTATCGTCACGACCTTTCTGTTATCATTGATGGCCGATCCATAATTAATTCTTCCCATATTTTCAACGATGATGTCCAAGGTCTGGCCGGCCTCTGCTGATAAGATGAGCGATGTCTGTATGGCCCTATCGACCACTCCTATTGGTTGCTGGGAGAAAGACGTCATATCAGAATGATGATGATGATGATGAAAATGATGACGGTGATGTTGTTATTGATAAGAATATGGTATCACTGACATGAAAAACATCCGAACCAATGGTATCAGTATGGTGTTGGTGAATAATTATTTCCATAATTATAAACAATAATTAATAGCAGAAATAATAATAATGATAATGACGTCAATAATAATTTATGACCTGATCCAACATCACGTGACCTCGATCCCTGACGCCAGAGATGTTGAGGAAGGATGGCGGGTAGCCCTTCTTAAATGTGTGCCTGTACAGCGTGAAGCCGTAGTACTGGGCGGTGTAATTAACATAATTTATGGAAATTTATGAAATAATTACCGATTGTTACTGTTTCAGGCGGAGTAATTAACATACATGCGAATTTATTCAGATTCCATTAACCACTACATCAGTACGTACAAAATATAATACCATCATTATTTTTTGCCAGGTTTCGTTTTTATTAATTAATGTCATAATTAACAATAATAATAACAACATATAAAATTATTATTATTAATATTGTTTTTTAATTATTATTATTATTATTATGACTCACGTGACGTAGTTGTTCCATATTTAGAGGTCCTAAACTCTGAACCATTCGATTTGAGGGGGTAAGTACGTCTAAAAGTTCGACTACCGAACCGAGTCGGTACATCTGCACCGAGCCGTAGGCCTTCTTGCTCGTGTTGCCAGGCACAGGTGGGAGATTTGGCTTGTACTGAAAGTGATGATGGTGATGATGAGAATGATGATGATGATGATGATGATGAAGAGAATGATGATGATGAGAATGATAAGGATGATGATAAAAATGATGGTGATGAGAATGGTGATGATGATGATGATCGAGATAACATGCTGGAGATCGTGCGAAAATTAAATGCATCATCAAGCAAATCAGAATGCAAATTGAACAGTCAACAAACATACCAACCGACCAACCAACTAGCCAACCAATCCATCCATCGACCAACTAGCCAACCAACCAATCCATCAGCCAACCCATCAACCAATCCATCAGCCAATCCATCAGCCAATCAACCAATCCATCAGCCAACCCATCAACCAATCCATCAACCAAGCCATCAGCCAACCTTGGATATCAGCCCACGAACGGCCATGAACTTATCAGTGACGTCACCAGCCTCTGACAGAGGAGCATCATAATCATAACTCGTTATCATGGAACTGTATGGTATCAGTGCGCCTATGAGGATGATGACAACGACGATGATGACGATGATGATGATGAATAAGGAAACGATGATGATATGATGATAAAAATGATGATGATTTTATTTTGATTGAAGAGCTAACCATTCATGAAACCAAACGTAGTACCGCCTTCAAACATGTACCTGTAACATGTGTTGTAAGTAATACAAAATTACAATTACTGCTTCTTCCGCTACCATTCTAGCCACCATCAACTCTCACTACTCACATCACTTTTACTTTAAAATAATTGTTAAATTTGCAAATTGGTTGATTGATACTAGAATATCTACAATACTCGCGCAATTGCAAATATTTGAACTACTGAAGCCAATAACTCTACCACCATCAAATAACTTAACAAAATATAACGACGACTCACATGTTGACGCTAGCCTTCAAAGTTACACATTGGTCCAGTGTACTTATAAGAGCCTTTGTGCTTCCGTAGTTATGTGGCTTGCCCCAGAAATCCAACCAACCAGTGTACAGCTCCGAATTGACCTTATTACATATTTTAAAATATATAATTAGCGCCTGCTTTTATTGCTTGAATAATTTTTGTATCTGATCAATAAAAAGGTTGAACTTCTAATGAAATGAAATATAATTAAATCATATTCACTAGAGGTCCTTGCTTGTTGAACTCTCTCATCGGTGCGAATGCCTGCTTCACATCTGGGAGGAAGTTATTTCTAAGGAATTTATTTCTACACATAAACGTGTGTGTGTGTCGTGTGGTTTGGAAGCTACACATAGGCGTGTGTGTGTGTGTGTCGTGTGGCGTGAAAGTCACACATAGGCGTGTGTGTGTGTGTGTCGTGAAAGTCACACATAGGCGTGTGTGTGTGTGTGTCGTGTGGCGTGAAAGTCACACATAGGCGTGTGTGTGTGTGTGTCGTGATGAATGTCGCAGCCGTTGTGCCACAAAAAGTATTACACGAAAGAAAGAACGACTTCTACGCAATTTAGCGTGCATTAGAGCTGTACAATTTAAAAAGATGAACCTAAAAAAGCAATGAATAAAATCTAACGAACCATCAGTGACTCCAAAGTCGACAGTAGCATAGGCCCGCGGGGTGGTGCCACACTTCAGGTAGCCCTGCCCATTTCCGTCCGTTGTGAAAAGAACTGTCTCGTTTCCAAGATGACCGGCAAAGATGTCCGCCAATGTTTTCATGTACACATGATCGCAGGCGAAGTAACTGCCGTACTCATTTTCCACTTGAACCATCAGGATGGGACCGCCATTGTGGTAGAGGTATGGTTTGACTAGAGATAGAAGTACTGCCAACCACCTCTTAACGGCCGCCATGTATTCTGCAACGTGAAAACAAGTAATTTGTTTAAGTTATCTGCAATGAATTTCCATTAAAAAAAATGATTACTTTTGTCCATAGTCCTAACTACCATTGTTTCGTTGTCTGACAAGAGCCAGCCTGGAAAACCACCCTGCAACCAAAAATTCCATTTATATTGTACAATCTCTTTTCAAACGAGCAAAAAATTTAAAAAATTCGCCCATTCCGATAAAAATGACGTCACTAACATAGTCCCACTCTGCACATGCATATGGACCAGCCCTGAGTATGACGTAGAGTTTGTGTTTCTGAGCTAACTTGATGAACTGGACGAGGTCATTCTGTCCTTTAAAGTTGTAGACACCGGGTTCAACTTCGTGAGCACTCCATTGCACATAACTGCAGGATGTTGTTGGCGTTGTTGCTTTTCAAATTTAGTAAAACGTCTGTAATTAATGCTGGTTCAACCAATCAGTGACTGAAATTCATAACGCCATCTTGTGATGTTTTTTTGAAAATCGTGTAACATGCATTTGTGCGAACGTGAACGCGCAACACACACGCACACGTAAATATGCATAAAATAATTTATCAGAGCACTTGTACCGTTGGATGCAAATGCATTCGATCCTGGTCAATGCGACACCAGGCTCTCAAATCGTCGGACCGTCAAACACGGGTTTTACGTAATCGTCTATTGCATAATTGAAATGATTTTCATTAATTAATTGATCTTTGATTAATTGAAAACTGACGTGGCGACGGCATCCAAGCCAGCCGCCTGCATCTTCACCAGCCGGTCCTCCCAGTACCCATGGTGCACTCTGCTGTAGTGCAGACTGCCAGACATGTAGCGGAACTCCTTGCCGTCCAATAAGAACCTGTCGTTCGCGTAGTCTATCTTGAAGGTTCGGTTGCTGCTCTGCTGCTGCTGCGCGTCGGTGGTCGCGTCAACAACTGCAACGCCATTTGAAACCTTACGTTTTTGAAAATCAATCGATAAGATCTTGTTAGTATAAACAGGAAAAAAAATTATTCATGAAGCTATCTTAATCGTAAGTAAATAAATATAAACCTGGATTAATAATGCCAGTAAAAAAATAGACGAGGTACTGAAAATTTGAACGAGCATTTCAAGATTTAAATTTAAACGAAAAACAAAATGACAATTATTAATAATGATCGGACATTAAAAAAGAAATGAATTTCACACAAATTTAATTCATTTATATACTAAAATCATAAACTAATCAAGTCACGAGGCGAATTGATGCTGCCTAATTCAACCATTCTCGTTATCTAGGCAAGTGCCTTGTTATTGTTTTATATTTAGAACGGTGTTCAGATAAGAGCAATTTCAATTTTTTCAAAAGGTTCTTAAGTATACTTTTTTAGGCAAAACAATCTATTTTTGAAAATTTATTTGATAAGTCAACGAACGCAGATAAGATATGTATTAAAATAGAAATCATGAGGAGGTCTGTGTGAATGTCTTCTTGAATCTTTGTGCCCTTTCATTCTTTACTTTCAACTTTTTCATTCTGTTTGGAGTTTTTCTGCCTCTAGATGTGAATTCCACGTTTATCTTTCTATCTCCTAGCGTCGATTCATGCAGCCTTAATCCAACCTGCGAATAAATTAAAAATTTATAAATCAGGATAGGCAGTCATAACTGGAATTGCATTTTGCAGTACATACTCTAACCAAGGAAGAAAAGTACATCATGTATTGTCCAGCTAAATAAGTTAAACAGAGTGAGTTAATGAATATCATAATCATAACTGACCATGTGACTTTTAGAATCATGAAACTCCACGTAGCAACAACCTCTTGACTGCTTTGATATCTTGTTTGTAAGTAATCTAACAGCTTTCACGTTGGCACCTTTGCAAATAATTGTATAAAATTTTTTTAGTAAATTATTGATTGGGTAACGAAATTAAATAAAAAAAAATATTTAGAAAACAATAAATGATTAATTTAAAAAAAGACAATTTGTTTATCTACCGGCATCTGAAAAGTGTTTGATAATTGCTTCATCACCACAATCGAATGGAAGGTTTCCTACAAACAGGACGTAGGCCTTTTCATTTTTTTTCTGTTTTTTCTTTGAAATTAATTTTTTTTTTTCTAAATTGTCGTCGTCATCCGCATCTTCAACAACCCACTTTTCAGGTTTTTCAGATTTTAATAAGCTAGCTTTGTCTTTACTAGGAAGTGCATTGTCGATTAATGAATTTTTTCTAGTTAGCTTATTACTGGCTGGTTCTGCAACAATGTTAACCTGACATTTAATTATGCAATAAACAATGAAAAAAGATTGTCATTGAAAGTGAATTGAAATTCACTTGACAATAATGAATAAATAAAGTCACAATTTTTTACATAACAATTTTCAATCAAATAAGAACAAGAGGAAGTAATAAAAAAACTGATTAAGATTGAACTGAACGAACTTTTAGTATTGAATACAGGGACGTCATCCTTCTTAGTAGAATCAGAATCTGCAGCCGATTGTCGTTGTTTGACTGACGTTGGAGGACGCTTGGACCACCAATTTTTTGACCGTCCTTCCTCTCGTTGAGCCGTCAATGTTTTTGTTTCTACGGCGCTTTTAGCTTTGGGCATTGCAGAATTTAAAAAAAAAATTATCGTTATAGATTTAAAACAAACACTATTTTATTTATACGAATTTAGAAGGAAGATTATTAAATTTTAACGCAAAAACGATTTAAACGGCGTGCTAGAGAAAATTATTTGTAAACAAAAGTAAAAGTGAATTCAGATCTAAACCGAAGATTCCAAGTTAAGGTTTGGTTTGGCTGAATTTTTATTATTAAACCATAAAAACCTCACTTGATAGTAACCATTAGATTATAGAATTGAAAATATCAAATTTATAAATCAAAAACTGCAACTCAAACGCTTTAAAGCCTAAAATAATTTCTTAAAACTTTACATAAGTTTATTTTGACCAAGGGGAAGCCTATTTACCAGCATAGGTACAACACCTTCTTATGGGTTGAAGCAGGGATATACAAAGAACCTCAATTTTTTCAACTTTTAATTATTTTCAGTAATGTCTCCCCTTGCTCCAAACCACATAACTAGAATAATAGGACTAATCGATCAATTCGATCTATCGGTCGGGCTATTTGTCGTGCTTGGATTGTTGGCTTACGAAATTGCATGGATTTTAACGAGTAAGCTAAATGAAATATTTACTTGATTTAATATGCTTAAAACATTGTAGTAATTCTATTTAATTTTAATAATGATTAATAGAATTATGTATTATTAAATTACTTTTGTTAATTTGAATATAAAAATTGCTTTTGGTCCGGTGAAATTCGGTGGCTCACTGAAGCCGAAGGTTGGCTTAGTAGGATTGAACTATAGTTACCCTTTTTTTTACACAATTCGATCATGTTAAAAATAAATTAAAATTGTTATTTGAACAACTATCTTCATTATATTCAATGAATATTTTACATTCTGCTGGTGCTCATAAGAAACTGGCTGCTGAAATCATACGTTGGCTTACAGCAGTGGCTTACAGGGTTTCATAGAACTCTTACGATAGCACTTTTTTGTACATATAATGCTCTAAATAAATCAATATATTCATATCACAATTATGTTTGACAGTATAAATATAGAAATTGCTTTTGTCAGATGAAAAACAGTGGCTTATTGAAGCCGTAGGTTGGCTTAATCGGATTTTTTCTCATGTATAGGTACAATACTATGAGATAAATCAATCAAACAATCAGTCGGTCGGTCGGTCGGTCGGTCAGTCAGTCAGTCAGCCAGCCAGCCAGTCAGTCAGTCAGTCAATCAATCAACCAATCAATCAATCAACTAAATTGAATGAACCAAATAAACAAAAATAAAAACAAAAATAAATAAAAATTTGCAAGGCCTGTTCAAACTCGAACAAACAGTTAACCGTACAGATCTACAAACAATTTTGAGATTTTAGTAAAGAAAGAAAAACACAGTAGTTGCTTTTATTTGAATTGATTCAAAAATGAAAAGTGACGGTTAATTAAAATTTTAAAATGTGAATTTTTTTTTAAATTCGTATTTTAAATAAACAAATATAACAAAATATCGACCGATAAAAATAATTATTATCCATTATTATTATTATCATACACACTCCTTAGAAGTTCTCGAAGGATAATAAACCACGTAACATGAACATTTAGTAGGAACACTTCACAACATATCATAATGACTAAATCAACATACAAAACAGAAATAATTTATACATGCATATATACAAAGTAAATCAAGAAATATCCAAAAATTATATAACCAATTTAAAAAAAACTAGAAGAAACCAGTCAACATTTAATGAATAAATAAATAGACATTATTAAAAAGATTGTTCAAAAAGGTACAATTTAAGGCGACGACGAGAATGAAATGTAGTTTGTTTTGTTGGTGTGGTGTTGTGAAGCGAAAACAAACACATCACACAAAACTAGTAAGAAATCGCAAGAATAATAGTCAGTCACCTACCTATAATAAAATTACTCAGGGTCCTAGCTTACTTATAAACATTGACTCAACTCACTTACCTACAAATTTGTATTTCTCGTTTTAGATGTTTCAAGTATTTTATTTAACATATTTTAGCGTTTTTATTTTACTTGAAGCTTGTTAACTAATGTTAAGCCCTAGCCTACCTACAATTGTTTAACTCATCTCAGTCCCTAACTTACCTATGAATTAAATTAAAGCCCGGTTCACGGTAAAGAGAAACATAGCAACAACGACACCGAATGAATGGATGTTGTGTATGTATGTGTTGTATTGATGTGTGGGTATGTAAATGTGCGGGCGCGCACTCTCCAGAAACTTCACTCACTACCAACGAACCTCCATTGCACCGACCATCATCTGACACTCATCGATGGAATGAATTTGACCGGATACTGAAAAATAAATTGAAAAAAAAATTAATTTACTAAAATAAAAAACAAGCAATTGGAAAAAATAGGCAACTTATCTTTTTGAGATAACACTCAATCTTTGTTCAAATTCGAGTACTTTCAAAGGTACAATGAGACAAAAACAAATTTACCTTTAACATTATCTTCGATTTGTCATCGGAACGATCATCATGAGACCGCCATCTGAAACGTGCTGACGCCCACCACAGCCCACCTCTCATCATTCTGTAGACAAGTTTTTATTAATTAGCGAAGTAGTAAATCAAGAAACAAAGGAACGAACGAATAAATGATTAACTGAATGATTGAACGATTAGTTGAATGAATAAATTAACTAATTAATTTATCAACCAATGATTTAATGAATGAATAGAATGAATCAATGAATAAATTAACTGAGGAATAATTTGAAAGATAGTGATAAAATGAATGAATGAATGAGAAAAATAAAAAAAAGAAACTAAATCATACTTCAAAAACCGTCGTCGTTGTTGACATTTTTTTAATAGCGTATTAGTAAATCAAGGAACAAAGGAACGATCGAATAAATGATTAACTGAATGATTGAATAATTTGTTGAATGAATGAGTGAATGAATGAATTAATTAATAAATCAATGATTCAATTAATGAATAGAACGAATTAACGAATCAATTAATGGAAGAATAATTTAAAAGGTTGAGTGATAAAATGAACGAATGAGAAAAATAAAAAACGAAACTAAACATTACTTCAAAAATCGTTGTTACTGTACTTTCCATTGCACCGACCACCACCATCTGGTCGGCACACAAAATACCATCCGAACTTCAGAGTGTCAGTCGAACAGCCAACGAGCTGATTCTTTCTACACCACCATCATCATATGTAAATCATCACGAGACCACCATCTAAAACGTGCTGACTCCCACCACTGCCCACCTCTCATCATTCTGTAAACAAAATTTTTTTATTTGCGTAGTAGTAAATGAATGTTAGAATCTTAGAAGCAAAAAAAATTAAATTATAAAATGAAAATAATGTCAAATAAATAAAATTTTAAAATAATAAAGTAAATAAAATGTAAAAAAAACTTACCGTCGTCCATTCGACAAAGGCAGAATGTTGAATGCGGTCCGGTTCCTACGTTGTCCTCCAAAACAGCCCGTGTTGATGGAGAAAGATAAAGAGGATTCTCATCAGAAAGCTTAGCGGTGCGTGCATCTCAAATTGCTTAATAAAAATAATGCTATCTACCTATTCAATTACCTTAACTAATCTATAATAAATTGTTAATGGTACGATAGTCGAAAGTTCCCCTTCATTCTCCCTCCTTGCACAGAGGTTCACCGACAGCCAGGGCACCGGATAGTAAACCATTGCCGTGCGGATAGTAGACTACTGCTTTGCGGATAGTAAACCATTTGCCGTCCGGAAGCCGTGCGGGTAGTAGACTATGGCCATGCCGCATAGTAAATCATTGCCGTGCAGATAGTAAACCATTGCCGTCCGGATAGTAAACCATTGCCGGTTCACCACTGGCCGCCAAGGCTTACCTCTGACAACAGACTTCGAAATTCAGAGTCTATCGGCTATCGTACCCTCAACTTACCTATTCATTACAATTAAGCCCTAGCTTACCTAAAATTACAAAACTCAAGAGCCCAATTCATTGGCCTTTCGGCACCCACCCCACCACCTACGTAATGCCTTGGGCTCCAACTTAGTAATAATAATATAAAACTTAAACCCTATTTCTATTAATGAGTATGTGTTACAACGTAGCCTTAACCTACCTATTCATTACATTACGGTCCTAGCTTACCTAAAGTTACAAAACTCAAGAGCCCAATTCATTGGCCTTTCGGCACCCACCCCACCACCTACGTAATGCTTGGGCTCCAACTTAATAATGATAATGTAAAACTTAACAATTAACCTACCTATCAATACACTTACAGCGTTTTAATTTACATTACAATATTTTTCCTAGAATTACGTTATTGCTCTTAACTACCAATGAAATTAAATTACTCTCAACCTTAGTAATAATAAATTAGAATGTGTAATGAAAATAAAATTACGCTCAAATACTAACATATGTGTTTATGTATGTATTTGTGTGTGTGTGTGTGTAATACGCTGGTGCGTGTAATGTGGGTGCAAGATAAAATAGAAGAGATAAACTTACGCTGCCTACCTATTCAACTACATTAGTGTTGGATGCTCCCTATCTATCCTACCTACAATTAAAATTATGCCTATCTAACCTACCTATATAGCTACTTAATGTAATTGTGTACGCGTTTGTGTGCGTGTGAGCATCCCTACTTAATGTTAAATTACAGAAAAAAGAAGAAAACGTATCCCAGTCAGACAGGTATTCTTTGCCACTGAATGAACGAACGTAGCCTGACATCTTCCATGATGAACTCCTCTGGAAGCTTCAACCTGAATGAAATGAAAAAATCCTATTTAATTAATTAATTTTAATGAAAATAGAGAAACGAGCCGCGGTGAAATCCACCAGCCGGAAAAGCCAGCAAACTGGCAAAAAAAGAAACCGTTAAGAAACCGTAAAGTCGGAAGTTAGGGTTAAGGTTGAACGTAGGGTGACATCACAACCATTCTGATCCTCCACGACGAACTCCTCTGGAGGCTATAACCTGAATAAATGAACCTGAATGA